CCGAAGGAATAGAAAATCTTGGACTGTATTAATAGATTTTTTTTAAAGGCAGTTAAGGAATATTAAATGTATACTTTCCATGTTTATTTTTTTATGAATATACATGCACCAGAGGCAGCCTTGATATTGATAGGGAATATTTTGCAAGCTGTGTACCATAGTAGCTCATATATTTACACCACACAATTGATTGAAAGATGTGGAAAACCTACCATACTCCTTTATATTTGTTAACATATATAGTTAACAAACTATGAAAAGTCATTTGAGGAAAAATGCCACCTTAAAGGTTCTATCAGTGTTTTCCATACATCAGGATTATGCAAGACTCACTGAAAGATATAACAACAGGGGAAAAAACCAACAATTTTAATTTCAACTTATTTCAGTACCTTCTCAATCAGTTAACAAGTATTAAGTGTCTGCTATGTGCCTAGCACTGTGCTAAGGTGTGAGGGATATAAGTACTAAAAATAAAACATTTTCTACACGCTATAAGCTTATGTTCTGATGGGGTAGGCAAATACATGTAAAACCTATATAGTATGAATGTAAAGCTTATAAATACAAATATTTGCATACATAATAAATACGAGGTAGTTTAGGAGGGAGAGCATTCATAGTAGGGCACAGGGGAGATCTTGAAAAGCTTCATGCTGAAGATGATGCCTGAGCTACATCTTAAAGGAAGAGTAGTGCTCTGTGAGGTGGAGGTAAAGAACTTACATTCTAGACTTGAAGTATAGCCAGTGAGTGAAAGCACATTGGAGAGATAGAGTGTCATGTGAATGTGAAATAGTGTCATTGTGAGAAATATTGAGAGGCCAGTTTGACTGGGTTGCAGAGTCCAGAGAGAGAGAGTAATATTCAATAAAGTTGGAAAGATGTTTCTGCCAGATTGTATAGGGTTTTAAAAGCTAAATAGAAGAATTTGTATTTTATCCTAGAGGCAATAGGAAACTACTAGAGTTGGTTGAGTAGGGGAGTGATATGGTCAGATATGTACTTAAGGAAAATAATTTGTTAGCAGGGTATAGAATGGACTATAGATTTTAGTAGGGAGACCAAGTAGGAGGGTGTTTGAAAGGTGAAAGTTGATGAGAGCCTGAATTTAAGTGGTATCTCTGTAAGTAGAGAGAAGAGGCAGATGTGAGACTTGTTATGAAGCAAGATGAAGGAAATAGAAAGATTTGGCAACTGATTGACTTTCTGGGGTGAGGGAGGGAGAGGAATAGAGATAATGGCAAGTTTATGAACCTAAGACACTGGAAGAATGGTGGTACCTTACATAGAAATATGGAAGTTTGAAAGCAGAGAGACTTTCGGGGGAATGAATTTGAGATGTCCTTGGCACATCCAATTTGAGATGTGCAATTGGCTTGATGAAGTAAGAAAAGGTTTTGAATAGCTTTTTTGAAGAGTGAGCTAGGGAGTCAGGGAAGAATAAAAAGGTCCCCATTGCTTTGGGATAGTGAGGACCCTATTGAAGCTGTATAAAATGCATTTGTAATATACTCAGTCAGCACAGTTGTGAGACTTACTTTAGCTTGGCAGCAGCCGGTGTGGAGGAGTAGAAGTAGATTGTGGAAGTAGTCCACATTGATTGTTTATCTAGAGAACAATGGTGATAGAACAAAAAGGCGAGAGTGGAGAGCAGAGTGTTTTGAGATGAACACTTCTCTTATTTTGCACGTTGCTTCTATTAATGCATCTTAAGATCCCATTACCTTCTCTGACTGCTATCTTAATAAATCTTCCAGATCTTTTTTATGTGAACTTGTTCTCTAGCTACTTTCTGAAAGTTTTTTTAAAGTTTTTTTTTCTAAAAGTTTTTTTCCAATTCAACTGTAGTACTTGAAATTTAATGGGAAAGAAATGTTATCTTTTCAGATTCAGCCCATTCTAATCTGTTGGTCTTTTTGGATCCTAATGCTATCATGTAAAATACTAGCAATCCCTTCCAGCTTTGTATGAAATTCAATAAGCATGTTATCACTGTTATTCTACTAGCAAACTCCCCTCAAGTTGGCATCAATTCATCAATCACTTCTTCTTGTTGCTAGTTATTTAACCAGTTCTGAGTTTACTTAAGTTACTTAAGCTTACTTAAGTTAAAATCCCTCTATCTTGCCTATGATGACAAAATAGACTTTATTGGGGTGAGTTGGTGAAATCTAAGCATTATGATGATAATAATGATCATGATGATAGTGATAATGATGTCTAAGTCATTCCCGTGATCTGCTGTTACTTTAATTTGTCACTCAGTCTGTGATCTTATTGATGAAGGTCATTGGTGTTAAGCTGAAATAGAAATGGGGGCCATTAACCAGACATAATTATCCTTTGGGGCCATTTGTTGACTTAATTTTGAAATTAATGTTTTATTGCATTTTTAATTACTTTGTTAAATATTTTCCGTTTATTTTAATCTGATTTGGTCTGCACTCAGGAGTATTGTGGACCACATGTTTGATACTTCTGTTGTAGGTGATCCAGAGATACATTGCACATCTGAACCATGCCTATGCAATGTACCTGTATAATAGCCCCATCTGAGAAGGAAATTAAGTTCATCTGGCATAACTAATTTTTTAATGAACACCTGCTGATTCAGTTGTCATTGCTTCTCTCTCCAAATGTCCACAGTCCATCTTGTACAAGTAACATAACTTCTGAGTTTTCTGTTAAATTGTACTGACTTGTTCTCAAAGTTTTACTATTAGTAGTGTTTTTATACTTGCAAAGAACTGAGTCAATAGAGGAGAAAATAGAATAAGTAGAAATCTTTTCTTTTCCTGTATATTCTGCTTTGAAATCTTTTAATTATTTGCAAATGGTAGGATTAATGTTTCCATTATACACTTAATGTTTCATATGTTTGCTTCTTATTTCATTCATTTGCAGTGAAATAAAATTTCAGTTTTAGCATATCCCTTAAGATTTTCTGTAGTAAAGTTTCACTAGTGTAAAGTTACTTTTATTTTATTTTATTTTTTAATTTAATTTTTTTTTTATTTTTGGTGAGGCATTTGGGGTTAAGCAGCTTGCCCAGGGTAACACAGCTAGTAAGTGCTATGTGTCTGAGGTCAGATTTGAACTCAGGTCCTCCTGAATCCAGGGCTGGTGCTCTGTTTGCCGTGTCACTTAGCTGCCCCACAAAGTTACTTTTAAAAAGCATATCTTGACTATGTGACACTGGGCAAGTTGCTTAAAACTGTAGGTTTTAGAGCAGTTGCTCATCTGCATTGGAAGAGCATTTCTTTGCTGGGAGTTCATTATACAGGTGAAATAATAGACCTGGACCAAAAATCACCCCCAGAATTTACCCCTCTTTTTTCAGAAACCAGACATTTGGCTTAAAGTCTCCAGTGTGTTAGTGCCTTTAGAATTATATTCGTGATTATTTTTGTGACTTTCAATTATGTGTTGCAAGATTGCCCTTCTAAAAATTCTAACAGTGAAATTTTTCAACCTATTTTTCTGCAACCTGACTGAACTGAGTTATTTAAGACTTTTACTTATTTTTTGTTTTTGCCATTTTTGAAGACTGAAGCAGCACCTTTAAATTGTTCTAATTTTCATTTCTCTGTTTATCAGTAGATTTGAATATTTAAGAAGTGATTGCCTCATGCTGGCTGTCTCATGAACAAGTCCTTTCATTTCTCATTGCTCTACACAGCATCCTAAGATTATAAATTTTGGAGATTATTAGAGTGAATTTTTTCATCTAGGAAATCACAGGTCCCAGACCTTGTCTTTATCCTTATAATTTATGCATCCATTTAAACATTATCTGTACCTACTCTTTGATCATTTTTTTCAATTGTGATTTAATTCCATTAAATAATTATGTAATTAGTGTTTTTCAATGTAGCAACTATAAGATCTGTTATAAGAACTGTTCTAAGATTTCTAAATGTTCTTTCCATACCAGTCAAAGAGCCATAGGTATTCTAAGCCTTTTAAATTGTTAAGTAGATGTGACAGAGCTCTGGTTGAAAGTGGCTGAGCAAGTAGATTATATAACCATTTTTGGGAACATGTATGCATGTTTGAGAGAGAAATTTTGCATAATTTAAGCTTTTAGAACAGAGTTCAGTGTTTGGATAGGAATTTGACTAAATTTCTTTCTCACCATTCAATGGTTCATTTTAGTGCTTTGTCTTATGATTTTGAATGAATGCTAATCAATATGTTATTAGTTAGGATACATAAAACACAGAACATATTCTCACTTTCTGGAGTAGCATTCTTCCTGCAAGCTCTCCCTTATATTTGCCTTCATCTCTGAAATTTACCCTGTCAGAAACAAAATCTTGATACCATATTTCTTGGTTTATAGTATAAGACAAGCACATATCCTCAGTTATTTTATAAGAGAATAATTTGGCTTTTTTTTCCATTCTTTTTTTTTTTAAAGGCAGTTGGGGTTAAGTGACTTGCCCAGGGTCACACAGCTAGTAAGTGTCAAGCGTTTGGTCTGAGGCTGGATTTGAACTCAGGTCCTCCTGACTTCAGGGCCAGTGCTCTATCCACTGTACCACCTAGCTGCCCCCAATAATTTGGCTTTTTAAAAAGCTTCCAATCAGTTTTGAAAAACTGATTAAAATTAGTGACTTGAATAAATTTGGTCTTTACTCAAATTTTTATTTGATACCCATTTCTTTCCCCAACCCCATATTAGTGGTTTTCAAAATAATACTGCAAGAGCTGAGATTTCAAGGGTGTCTTATGTGTGTATGTGTATATACATATGTATGCACATATGTATGTTATATATGTTTGTACATACACACATGCTGGTACAGTTTAGTAAATGTTTATTTCATTAAAAATACTTTTCAGTCATATTTATTAATGTATAATAAACCTGGATAATATTAGTGTTTTTAAATGAGGTAGAATGTTGTGGCCGAGCTTTTCACAATTTGAATCATTTTTTATAGATATACATTTTTCTTTTTAAATTGAAACACCTATGTTGTTTTTTTTTCCAGATTCAGTACTAAACATGGGTGCATTTTTGGACAAACCCAAAACTGAGAAACACAATGCTCACGGTGCTGGGAATGGTTTGCGTTATGGTCTAAGCAGCATGCAAGGATGGAGAGTAGAAATGGAAGATGCTCATACAGCGGTTGTAGGTATTCCTCATGGCTTGGAAAACTGGTCGTTTTTTGCTGTTTATGATGGTCATGCTGGATCTCGAGTGGCAAATTATTGCTCAACACACTTATTAGAACATATTACTAATAACGAAGATTTTAGGGCAGCAGAAAAACCTGGATCTGCTCTTGAACCTTCAGTGGAAAATGTTAAGAGTGGAATCAGAACTGGCTTCTTGAAAATTGATGAATACATGCGCAACTTTTCAGATCTCAGAAATGGAATGGACAGGAGTGGCTCAACTGCAGTGGGTGTTATGATTTCACCTGAACATACCTACTTTATCAACTGTGGAGATTCACGTGCTGTCCTTTATAGGAATGGACAAGTCTGCTTTTCAACCCAGGATCACAAACCTTGCAATCCAAGGGAGAAGGAGCGAATCCAAAATGCAGGAGGCAGTGTAATGATACAGCGTGTAAATGGTTCATTAGCAGTTTCTCGAGCTCTGGGGGACTATGATTACAAATGTGTGGATGGCAAGGGTCCTACGGAACAACTTGTTTCTCCAGAGCCTGAGGTTTATGAAATTTTAAGAGCAGAAGAGGATGAATTTGTCATCTTGGCTTGTGATGGGATCTGGGATGTTATGAGCAATGAGGAGCTCTGTGAATTTGTTAAATCTAGGCTTGAGGTATCTGATGACCTGGAAAAAGTGTGCAATTGGGTTGTGGACACTTGTTTACATAAGGTATGTAAATATTGCTTCTAATGAACTGTCACATTGGGTTTGAAATGTCTAACCAGTAAAATTTAGAGCAAAGGTCTGAGATTAAAGATTACATTCGGAGAGGCTTTTGTCCCAAAGGCTTTTGTTAAACACAGTTGACATTGAACTGTTTTGCTGTCATTTTCTACATGACGGTGGATGGTGGGGAGTTCATAAAGCTCCCTAAACTTAATGTAATTGTTGGTGGGAATAATTATAAGCTAAACTTGAAGTTTGTACAGGTTGGGTTGTTTTAGGATGTGTTTCTGTGACATAGCCAAACCTTCACTGTAGGTAGTGATTCTAAGTCAGACAATCAGACAGTCATCTAGCATTTATTAAGCACCCATTGTATGTGCTAGGCTCTGTGCTAAATGTTGGGGATATAAAGAAAGGCAAATAAAATAAAACACAATTCCTGGCTCTCAGGGTGCACATGGCTTAATGGGGGAGACAGCATGCAAACAGATAAGTATAAACAGGATATGTACAAGGTAATTTGACATAACCTCAGAGGAGAGGCACTTTTATTAAGGAGAATTGGGAAAGCCTTCTTGTAGGAGGTGAGACTGTAGCTGAAACTTGAAGGAAGCCAGGAGGGAAAGATGAGGAGGGGAGGTTCCGACCTAGGAGGACAAGCTAGTGAAAATACTTGGCACTGGGAGATGGAGTGTCTTGTGGAAGGAATAGCAAGGAGGCCAGCATCCCTGAATTGTAGAGTTATGTGGAGAGGAATAAAGTATAAGAAGATTGGAAAGGTAGAAAGGGGCCAGATTGGGAAGGGCTTGAAAAACCAAATAAAGGATTTTATGTTTGATTCTGGAAGGTGATAAGGTGCCACTGGAATTTATTGAAAGGGGAACAGGCAATGATATGGTCAGACTTTCACTATAGGAAATGTTCCAAGGATGGCAGTTATCAATTAATATTAGGTGATTTCCAGTTACTTTGTTTTGATGATGCCAGTGCTCTTAAATTTTTTCTTTTAACTATTGTTCTTTCTAAAAGTGGTTGCTTTTTGAGTTTTTAAAAGTTCATTCATGTATTTTTCAACCGAATTTTAGTTTTAATTTCTTCACTCCTAGCAGATCAGTTATCTTGGTGTTACGTTTTCTGTGTGGTTGGTTGTAGGTCACAACCTAGCAATGCCTTTTTAAATAACCTCACATTATTGAAGTATGCATTTTTTTCTGTCACACTCTAAAAAACTTTTTTCTTTATAATATATTTATTATCCTCATACAAGTGTCTTTAAAATGTTATTATGACAAACTTTTCATATCGCTTCCCTTAATAATCGGGTTCATTATTTCAACCTCAGGCCTTTTTCTTTGTTATCTTTTTTGTTTGGCTTTTTAATTAACCCAGCTATATGTAATTCTCTGTTCTTTTCCTATGTACACATTTCCCCCTCCACCATTTTTTTCTAACTAGTTGTTTCTAATAGAGTGAGAATTACTGAAGACTTTTTTTTCTTTCTATACTCTATAAGTTTTTGTAGTAAGATGAATAAGACTAATCTTCAGCTTTTTTAGAAACCCAGATTGGTCCATTTTATAGTCGAAACTTGACATTCTATGTTATTTGCCCAGTGTAAGGTTTTTTGTTTTTGTTTTGGAGCTCTGCAACTTTTTTTGAGTAGAGGATCCATAGAAATGTGAGAATTGGAGTTCTGTGACTTTGGAACACAGTTTTGTAAAATCTGTTATTTTTGTGACGGGACAAAACGTACTTGAACCTAACTGATCAGCAGCCCAGAACTTCTGAGCAAATCGCCTATAATGTGTAATGTCATAGGATCTTTGAACCAGCCAAAGAGCTTCCTTTAGCTCTTCTGTGTTCTACTTGATATGTGGGTATCAATTTTGTTGCAATCTTGCTTTATATTTGCCAAGGACTGACATGTGCTTTGTCTCCTTGATACCTTGTTTCTCTTTACAGAATTCTTGGCCTGAACACCTGGCTACATTTTTGCCCACTTTGTTTCTATGTTTTAAAAATTTTCAATCTTACTTTGTAAGTGAGGTTTATTTCTTCATATTGTATTTTCTTCTTTTATCAGCCTCTACGGTATTTATGCCGTGATTCTTTTTGTGATTCTTTTAGTAACTCTACTGTTGTCTGTTATCTAAATTCCTAGTAACTATTCCATTTTTTAATTTATTCAGTGGTAGTTTGGTCTCTTGTTTGGTTCTGTTCTAGACTTATGCATTGTCTTATGAGTAGTCTGAGCAAGACACCTGTAGAGCATTTATTGGTTGATTATTGTCAGTTTGAAGTTAAAAATTTAGATCTACTGTAAACTGAAATAATTATAGAAAAGATCAGTGAAAATCTTAACTTGAAGTGCAATAACACTGTTGTAAAGCTTCAGAGTTTGTGGTAAACTGCTGTTAGAGAAGGAAATCGTAGGGTCTGTGATTCTATTCAGTCTTTAAAAGCCTGTATCCAAAAATATCTTTCCTAAGGTGGGAGAACATACTTCTTTTCCCTGGAGGTAAATATTCATGCACTGGACTATCTGTTTTGTGTCAGGAGCCTGTATTAATTTTTATTTATATCTTTATACCTCACAGTATTTATGCATAAGTTAGGTGGCTATATTTTAATCTCTCCCTGCCCTCTCCACTATATAAGAAATCAAGCATTGTGGGTGGCTAAAGAAAATTTTGGTGAATGTATCTTTCATTAACTTCTTTAGAAGTTAGGTTTTCTTGGGAATTTGTGTTTGTGTATTAAGCCCCTTGCTTATGGGTAATCACTGGAAAAAAAAAGATTTGTCTTAGACCAGGTGGATTTAAGAAACATCACTGCATTGAATATTGGAGGAAGCAATGTTTTTTAAAATGTCCTTATTTGCAGCTTGGGGTTAGGGTTGAATTATGCTTTTAAGAATTGTTGAAGGGCAGCTAGTGGCGCAGTGGATAGAGCACCAGCCCTGAAGTCAGGAGTACCTGAGTTCAAATCCATCCTCAGACCAAACACTTGACACTTACTGGGTGTGTGACCCTGGGAAAGTCACTTAACCCTGATTGCCTAAAAAAAAAATTGTTGAGTACCTACTGTATGTTAAGTACTGTCAAGTAATGGGGAGATAAAAGAAATGTGGGGTATATCCTGAAACCAAGAGTCAAATGGAGGGTTAAGTGCCTCAAGTAATAATTATTGTAAGTCAACAGACATTTATTAAATACTTACTGTGTGCCTGGCACTGGCATTTTTAATTATAAGAGTTATTAGGAATGAGTGATCCTTTTATTTATTAAATATTGTTGTGATAAGTAAATCCAAACAAACTCAACAAACATACCCACAAGAGACATTCTAGGAAAATAGTTAAATGAAACAGCAGAAGAAAGTGAATCTATGTGAATCCTTATGCTTTTGTAGCTCATTAAAAGAAACGTAGGATTAGGATATGTACTTTAACAAATTTAGTACCAACATTTCTTTGTTATATTAACCCTGAATTTTGTTGCCTTCAAATGTTGTCTTCATTCATGTAGCTATAGTTGCAGTGTTTTCCTGTATCTTTTGTTCTGTTGAGAAATATATTTTGCTGGAGTATTTGGAGGAGGTCTCATCAGGAAATAGGATTTGAAATAGATTGGGATTTGAAAGAGATTGAAATTTCAGGTTTTAGGGAGTTAAAAAGTAAGCCTTTTTAGGGAGCTGATATGAACAGTATGAGAGGAAGTATGGATCCAGAAGAACAGTTTCATCCTAGGGACAGTAGCCAGCTGTTTAGTGTAATAGAAAAGGCTGGAAGTGGAAAGCTTCTTGAGGCCTAAAATAATGGCCTAGAATATAAAAATGAAGTTTTAATTTTGCTGTATAGACAAGCGGGATCCATGGAATGTTGCTGGGAAGATTAGGTATGCAGTGAGTGTAATTTTTTTCAAAGAAAGTTTTGGACCCCAAAATGGATGGAAAAGATTGAGAGGAGACAAGGAGATAGGTTTAGAGGCTATTGCAGTAATCTGCATGAAAAGTGAGGCATTTAGTTGTGACCTAAACTTTAGTGGTGCTAGTAGGAGTAGAAAGGAATGGTTGTAGTGATTTTTTTTCCCTTCAAATGAAGAGTCTGTCAGGTATGGGAGATTGCTGAGAGGGGGGAAAAGATGAAATTTTGATCCTCGGTGATTGGAATAGTGGAATACCATTTAGAGGGTGAATCCATTCACCCACTCCTGCTCTTGGAAGAAAAAACATTTTGCTCCTCTTCCCCCCCTTTCCCCAAATGTTAATTGGGGAGGGAGACTTAGGAGCAGAGTTGGCAGGATAGGTAGGCATTTCATTCCTGGAGAAGTCAGTAGAGAAATGATTGATTACTTTGACAGTAGTGGATATTTTCAACTTGCTGGTTGATGCAGGCACTCATTGGTGGGGATCTTGAGTTATATACTTAAAGATTTGATTTTTGGAATGAAAGTAAACTACTTTATAGTATCCTGACATTTATTATAGAGAAATATAGATATTACAATTCACAGTTCTCATAATCCAAAGGTAAAGCTTTGCACTAAAACATCAAATAGGATATGGACTGGACCTGTGATTTCATTGACAGAGGAAAACTTGAGTGAGAGATCTTTGACACCTTCTTTGAAATTTGGGACTTGCCTAGGGCTCCAAGAAGTTTAAATGACTCTGGTCACTTATCCAGTATGTGTCTGTTATATAACAGAGTTCTGTGGTGAATCATCTCTAAATTAACTGCTTTGTAAAGCCAGATTTTCACATGTCGCATTCCTATATTTTTACATATGTAGTTCAGGTCCTTTATTGCTTTTACTTGGACTATCGTGATAGCCTATTGCCTCAAGTCTTTTGCTTAATAAATACTTGTTGACTGATCTCTAATTTAGGAACTGTGGAGGAAACTGGATGTACATATAAATGAATAATAAATACAAGGCAATCAGAAGAATAGTAGTAGCAGCTACAGGGATCAGGAAAAGGTTCATGTAGAATGTGGTGCTTGAGCTAAGTTTTGAAGGAAATACCTCTGTTCTAGCATGTTCCCCAGTCACCTCTCTGACTGTAAATTGCAGAAGTGCAGTCCATTTGCAACGATGAAGGTAGTTCTTATACTGGAAGTTCCTACAAGGGTGAAATCACATATTCCAAATGCAGTTAAAAGTTGCCAGTACTTATAGACCCTGACAAATAATGCTCTTTAAGATAGGGTATTGTTATAAGAACCTAGACTTTAAAATTTTGAGATATTTGCCTTATGGAATTATGTCTTAATTAAATCAGCTACTTGGTTATTCATGGTAACTGAGGCATAGAGATGGTTGAAGCCCATTGGTATTTCTAAAATATTATATTACTTAGTTTCAATATATTCCTCCACTAATATCTTAACAAAATTTCTACTGACTCATAAAACTGGTTTGCTTATTTAATTTTCCCACCTACCATCTGTTGTAGATACTAATGAACATTGAAATTGCCAAAAGGCAGATAAACAAGAAGAGAAGGACCAGAAACAAGACATCAGTAATTGCTACATACTGGATCTTCAATCCCTGAATCATTTTGGAAAATTCACTGTCTTTAGAAGTAATACCCTCTGTAGTTTTATTGCTCTTTGTATTGGTTTTTCTAAAGGCAAAGACCAAGAATTTGTGTTGCATTACTACATGGTGGGGCAGAGGAATTTTTAGTTATTCTAGTCAGTCAGGTAGTCTACCAACAAGCATTTATTATGCTATGTTCTAACAGCATATCTGACACTGTTCTGGAGGCTTAGAATGAAGATAGGAACAAAAAAGAAAAATTGTCTCTGCCCTCATTCTAATAGAGGAAGACAACACATGGAAGATGAAAATGAGTGAGGGAAAGGAGGTACCTTGTGGGGAGCATTATGGAGAAGTCTGGATTGCAGCCTGATGAGAAATGAAGAGAAAACTGGCCTATGCACCCCCCTTAAAATGGAGTTTCTATGAGGAGCTAGTCAATCAGAGAGAGGGCTAAGAGGATTTTTGAGGTGTGAAGGAACTGAAATGATCCTACAGGATTTCTGAAGGATCAAAGAATAGTTCAGTTCATAACTATTGATGTGAACATAATGAATTCAAAGCATTTGTTTCATTAAAGTAAGTCATTTGTGTTGTACTTTTAAGGTTGATAAAGTATTTTCTTCCCTGCAATCTTTTGTGTTAGGTAGTAAAAGCATTACTGTCTCCATTTTTCAGATGAAGAAACTGAGGCACAAAGTATGAAGTGACTTGCCAAGATTCACACAGCTAATAGGTTGCAGACATATTTGTACTTGGCTCTTATAAGTTCAAGGGATGAGTACTTTTCTTTTCTTTTCTTTTCTTTTCTTTTCTTTTCTTTTTTTTTCTAGGCAGTGGGGTTAAGTGACTTGCCCAGGGTCACACAGCTAGTAAGTGTTATGTGTCTGAGGCCGGATTTGAACTCAGGTACTCCTGAATTCAGGGCCGGTACTCTATCCACTGCGCCACCTAGCTGCCCCAGATGAGTACTTTTCTCACTACACAACAATTCTATCCCATAAATTGTAATTATTATGTTTATAAAGATATGATGAGAAATTATTTGCCACCTTTATACTTATGAAACATTAAGAGAAAAATATATTTGTCTAAACCCCTATCTTGAAAAATGTTTACGTATTCCTTCATAAAGGTTTTTATAACTTCATTGAGAATATTTCTTGTTCATTAACTGACAAGCTATTCCTAACTTAAAATTAACAATCAGGAAATTATAAGCTATGAAGGCGATATGATTAACTTCTTTGAATTAAATGAAGAGTACATGGGTTATGATCAGCAGCTTTTATTTCACTTAGTAATTCAAACAACTGATAATTTGATAGGAACTTATAAAAAGCAAGTAAGATATTCAAATGTTTATTATTGATACAGTACTGTAACTTCTATATTTGGCCAAGTACAAAATATAAAGTTTTAATTAATAGAGAATTAGAAGTACAGGTAAATGTAAAAGTAGAGCGTTTGGATGAATGCTTATTTCTTGTAGGCAGTTGTCTATTCTGCCTACTAAGTCTTTGTTTATATTTGAGAGAAATGCTTTGTAATTGCTTCCTATTATATTGTCTAAGATCAAGGGGGTACTTTGTGGACTTTTGGCTGGCTTATCAGGTGGCACTTTTAACTCGTGTTTAAGTCTCCTTGGCTTTAGAACAACAGGGAAGCTTTAAAAGTATGGTTTTAGCATCATACTAACTTTTGGACTCTTGTATATTTAACGTAGGATGGGTGGATGGGGCATAATAAATCAAGAGGTAGAGAGGCTTAGCCCCATGTAGAATATTTGTCCCCTTTGTTGTAATCAGCCCTGCCTCTCTAGGTTATGTTATCCTAATGTTTTTTGTTTGTTTTTGGTAAATGAATAAACAGCCAGAAAGATAGGTGTTTAAGTCAACCATTTTTTATATTTCTGTAGTAATTAATCATCCCTAGTTGCCTTAAAGCTTGTCTCTCTTTTTCTTAGAATGGATTTGGAGGATACTTGACAAATTTTAATTTAAAATTTTTTTATTTGAAAACCTTGTAGATTTTATAGCTATTCTTCATCACAAAAAGGAACTTGATAAACCAAGGTTAGAACATCACACTTGATTGATTATAAAAAATCACAGTGACCTGGATTTGCCACTTACTATCTTTGTGACCTTGTACAAGTCACTTCACCTCAGCTTCACCTGAAAAATACTGTTCTCTGAGGTCCTTTCTAGATCAAAATCTATTTATATTTCTAATCACAGAGCCTGAAATGGCATAGATTGCAGAGATCATAGTATGCAAAAGCTGGAAGAGCCCTCAGAGATCATCAAATCTAGTTCTTTTTTTTTTTCAGATGAGAACATTCAGGCCCAGATCTACAGTAACAAATGCCCAAGGCAGGATATTAACACCAACTTCTCCAGTTTCAAGAACTCTTCCCTCTATAGTTTGTGTCCTCCCCATAATGTAATCCCTTCCAAGGGATTCCAAGAATCCCTCCTATCTCTGCCATCCCAGACAAGAAGACACTGAGTTTTGGTTGAGTTCTGTTGATGAAAAACCTGCCAAGATGGCTGATTGCACTTAGAGACAGCTCTTAACTGTTAGGAAGTTGGCTTTTTTTCCTGGCCAGTTAAATTGCCTAGCAGTTTGCTCCCCTGTAACTTCAACTTTATGTTCCTAGCTCTGCCCTCGGTGTGGGCCAAGCAAAATTTATTATTTTCTAGAAGACAGCCTTTTGTATTGCTCAAGATCCCTATGACCAAATTTTCCCTTTTAAATTTTCTCTGTATTAAACAATCACAAGTCCAGTGCCCTTAACAGTTATTCATCCTCTCTTAATATAGTGAAGGGTAATAGAGAGTAAAAAACCAGCCTTTAGATTTAGTGATGAAGACGTTGTTGGTGTTTTTGAATAGAAGATGGTTAGTAAAATGATATAGTTAAAAAAAAACAGGTTGCAGAAGGTTGAGGAGTGAGTAGGTGGTGAAGCAGCGGATAACTGCTTAAAGGACTGACTGAATTTGGGGTCAATTAAAAGATTCTTTATTAAAGAAAGATCCCGGAAGTTAGCGCTGATTCTGAAACCAGCTTTTTAAAAAAAATGAGAGTAAAAAAATTTCCGACAATAAAAGCCTGTTTCACTGGAATCAAATTTAGCGAACCTTGTCAGATTAGTTCAGCTTTCCTCATAAAGAAATACTTGAAGAAACTAAGAGCAGGAAATCTCTGGTGTACCATTTCCCATCTACATACAAAGAGGCTGATCTCTTCTCCCCTTTGAATTTGTTTGGCTGAGAGGTCTGGTCTGTTTTCCAGTCAGCAAATTGTGAGTGGGATAGAGCTAAAACTAACTCGGATTTGATAGAATCCTACAATTTGCCATCAGTCTTCTTCCTCAAACAGAGATCTTCACCCTCACCTCTACTATAGCACCTGGAAGATTAAAAGAAGATACCACTTTGTTCTTCACACCTTGCAATACTCTCTCTTTATTTATAGAAGCTTTTGTGTATGTGTTAAATACGTGAGGAATATGAATTTGTATAGTATTAGTCCTGTAAATCTTGCTTAAGTCTAGGTGATAAATAGATGGCTGAAAGCTGTTACTATTTATCTCTCAAGATAACAAGAAAGCTCTTTCCAGAATTACTCAGGAAGTCATCACTGTTAGGACATTAGTTTCTGAGACCTGAACATTTGAGTACCTAAAATAAACATAGACTGGATATTTAGTTTCTGTTCTGCAGATATCTTTTGTCTGTTTTAACTGCTTCCTAATATTGCTTGCTTGCTTGCTTCCTTTCCTTCCTTCCTTCCTGCTAGGCAATGGGGTTAAGTGACTTGCCCAGGGTCACACAGCTAGTAAGTGTTATGTGTCTGAGGCTGGATTTGAACTCAGGTCCTCCTGGCCCCAGGACCCATGCTCTATCTATTGCTCCACCTACCTGCCCCCCCCCTTTTTGTGTGTGTGTTGCCTAGTATTTCACTAAAAACTTTAAGCTATAATATTAGAAATAAGATTCTATGGATATTTGGCTTTTAAATTCTTTGTGTGTGTGTGTGTGTGTGTGTGTGTGTGTGTGTGTATGGCAAAATTCTGAGGATGGAAGCTGAGTAGTTAAAAGAGTTTGGGTAACCCTTTGATACCATGAGTTATACAATAATGATATAAGAATAAAATTCTTTTTAGTTCAGATTCCAGAAAGGCTCTAAAATTGTCAAATGGAATATACTTCAGACACAATTCCCTAGAAATATTATTGATTCTGTGGTATGATTGAAAAACTATTTGTTTTGTAAAAGTTCTTATTTTTTTTATGAATAATGTAATTGGGGAAATGTTTCAAGAATTATGGTTTCCATGTTGGAATGAAATAGGTAGGTGTCCTTCATTTGGAGGCACTAATCAGTTAGGCAGTAGGGATGTGGCTCTGTATCTACCCCTCACAGCCCCTCCTTATCCCCCTCTCCCCCAAACAACAACAACAATAATTCCCAGAGCCCAGGGAATTGTATTGATTAGATCGTACATATCTCTTCTGGAACTTTTGAGACCATCACTTTCAAAGCTCCTGACTCTTTGATTTATATTATGTGAGGATCTCCTTGTTACTTCTGACTCTTTTTTAGATGAGGGGAAAACAGGCTTCTCAAACCATAGCAGTTTAAAATGGCATTGGAGTTGGGTAGATCTGGGGAAGTAGTGGGTGCCCCTCATACCTTACCCTTCCTTTGCAGAACTTGAGCTATTGTAGTAGAATGAGTTTTGACTATTGTCTTGATTTTTAGTTGGGTGGACTCCCTGAATAACTCATACCTGTCTCCTTTTTGGTGCCCTTTGTGGCATTCTCGGTATATGAGTAACTGACAGCCTTCTCAGGCACAAAATATATTGGAAAGTACAGTTGGAAAAACAAGCATATGATTTTAAAAGGATTTACTTTTAAGTATTTTCCTTTAGAATTAGCAGACAGATGTTTTAAACATGTTGCTTTTAATCTTGTGGATGAATGCTATATATTGGTAAGACCTATGTAGGACTGGCCATTCTTTCCACACTGAATTCATCAATTAGTATTTCAACCATCTGAAAAACCTCTTTGTGCTAAAATATGCTGAACAGTGAGCTTAAAGTGGATCTTCAAAAAAAAATTTAACTCCATTTATCTGAATGCTGGTTATTTGGCTGTAATTTTGGTTCTCCACAGTCTTGTCATCTTGTTAGTGTGTTTTGAAATCCTTATATTGTTCTGCCCTTTTTGCATCCCTGCTTGGGTTCACCATCTTCTTTTGGGGGGGGCACTAGGCAGTGGACTTAAGTGACTTGCCCAGGGTCACACATCTAGTGAGTGTTGTGTGTCTGAGGCTGGATTTGAGCTCAGGTCCTTCTGACTCCAGGGCCACTGCTCTATCCACTGAGCCACCTAACTGCCCCTGGTTCACCTTCTTGATTGTCCTGGTATTTATTTATTCCTTCTTCAATACCATGTAATTGTGATGAACACTGTTTGGATGTGATCTACCAGTTAGGTTAAAAACAAACACACACACAAACAAAAACCCTTTTTTTGAGTGAATTCAGCCTTTAGAAAAGGGTAAAGGGCCTAGACAGGTAGAACAGATGTTTATTAAGCTTTTATTATATGCCAGGCATTGAGCTAAGCATGAGAATACAAAGAAAGGCAAAGACAGCCCTTGCTGACAAGCACTTCATAGTCTAATAGGGGATAGAACACGGAAACAAATACGTACAAACACACTATATAGAGAATGAATTGGAAATAAAAGAATCAAGGGGCAATGGAAAAGGTTTTCTTTAGAATGTGAAATTTTAGCTGGGACTTAAAGGAAGCCAGAAGGCAGACATGCGAAGGGAGAGTATTCCAGGTATGGGTGAAAAATGCCGAGTTGGGAGATGGTGTATCTTGTTCAAGGAATAGCAAGGAGTTTAATCAGAAAGTATGTATGGAGATGTGAGGTGTAAGAAGACTGGAAAAGGAGGTGATGGGCAAGTTATGAAGAACTTGGAATTCCAGACAGGTTTTGTATTTGATCCTGAAGGTGATAGGGAACCATTGGAATTTATTGAGTGCAAGATTGAGGGTAGAGAGGGGATGATGACTGAGGAGTGACTGGTGTGTGTGACATGGGCAGACCTGTGTTTTAGGAAGACTACTTTGGCAACTCAGACAGGCAGACCAACCAGCTGGCTATTGGTATGGTCCAGGTATTGAGGGATGGAAGGTGGTGGCAGTGTCAGAGGAGAAAAGGGTGTAAAAGGTAAAATCCGTAGGCCTTGGCAAGACATTGGATATGGAGGATGAGACTGAGTAAGGAGTCAAGAATGGTGCCACCTAGGTTTTGAGCTAGCTTGTGTAAAAATCAAATGAATAGCTACTTAAGGGTCTATATGTGTATCTGGAAACTATAGCTTTCAGGTCATTCTCAGATTGTCATTAATCCAGTATAAAGCTGTATTTTCTTCCAGGATACTTAAGTAAATTGTATTCGTATAATTCCATTTAAGATACTTTTAAAGGGAATGATTAGAAGCTGGTTAAAAAAATCTTATCTAATTTTCTCCTTTTTTAATATGCAGGGAAGTCGAGATAACATGAGTATTGTGCTAGTTTGTTTTTCAAATGCTCCTAAGGTCTCAGATGAAGCAATGAAAAAAGATTCAGACTTGGATAAGCACTTGGAATCACGGGTTGAAGGTAAAAAAGCTACTCTGGTTTATTTAAGAAGAAAAGAAGGGGGGAAACTACCTCTGCTTTTAAAACAAAGTGATTGGGGTTGGGGTTGGGGTTGGAATGGAATTTATACAAGTAGAGACTTTTAAAGAAACCTTTTTTGCCTTGTTAGTATTTGGGCACAAGGTACCTGAGGGTCCCATAGAAAAAGAAAAAAGTATATGCTTATTTTAAAATTATTTTCTAAATGGCAAAAAGTGGTAAGTATATTATTTCAAAATAGTAACAGTTCAAAGTGTACATTCCTGGTAATATGAATGATTACAGTAACAATTGTCCTTAATTCATCATTAGTAACTATTATGTACTTTGTTTTCATCACTCAAATTCTACTAGCTTAAACTGTTCTAAGAGTTTTGTTATTAGCTGTCATATGTGTGTGTGTGTGTGTGTGTGTGTACACACACACACACACACACACATATTGGGGGGGGTCTAGGCAGTGGGGTTAAGTGAGTTGCCCAGGGTCATACAGCTAGTAAGTGGTATGTGTCTGAGGCCAGATTTGAACTTCAGTCCTCCTGAATCCAGGGCCGGTGCTTTATCCATTGCTCCACCTAGCTGCCCCTAGCTGTTGCATTTTTATTCAGGTTAGATTGCCAAACAGGATACAGTGGAAAATTTTAGTTTAGAATTTACCTTCATACTGATGGTCATGTAATGTTTATGCTGACTTTGTTATTAGCACATACCTTTTAAGAGGTTGGTAACCACCTTTTGGAAATCTGTGTATTAAAATGTACAAAGCAGGTACTAATTGCAGGAGTAAAATTAGGGCAGACAGTTTGGCTTATAAAGTCTTTCTGTATGTTTTCACCTGTTTTTAAATGACACTTCCTCAAAATCCGTGTTTTCCTATTCTCACTGCCAAGTAGTACCTATCCCATCTGACCTCTCTATTATTCAACTTGAGTTTACTTCTTCTGTGACATGTTCCTATGTTGTTAGATACTCTACCAGTCCCTTCCACCCCTTTGCACTATTTAAACTGTTGATCATATCTCATTTATCTAGTTCTCTATTTTAATTTCCACAATTTTTAATACAGGAAGTATACCTAACTGGTATAAGAATAAAATTGGTGAGATGAATAAGATACTATCTGTGAAATCACTTTGGGGAAAAAAAGTTAGAAATATGTAGATACATGAAAAGTATCACTAGCTAAATGAAACTACTTACAAAGATTTAGTTATGAAAGTAGCCTACATTCCTGGTGATGTGGTTCTTCAAAATATGCTTTTCTTCACCCATGAAAATGCCTAGTTAATAGTTACTTTTAAGGTAAGTGGCTATTTTAAAATTTATAGAGTTTTATATCTATATAGTTTCTTTTGTAGTTCATAGTCATTAATATACTATGTATTTAAGATATATATTATGTAGCTCTGTTTTAGGAACATTTTTTCCATAACCAAATTTTAAAAGGAATATTCTAAAGGGACTCAGCAGTAGAGTTTGAAGTTAAGTTCTCTAGTTTTCCTAGGTGTCTTGTTAGAAGATACAGGCAATATCTAAATATCTTACCCAACTGGACTAACTCTTGGTAATATACAGTTCTTGAGGATCAGATACCAACTAGCTTTGTAACTTTATAAATAAATTTTGAGCCTTTTAAATTTTCGTGATTTGTGTTTATAACTTGAAACAAATTGCAGTGTTCAAGAAACACCATTTCTTATATACAAGCAGAAGTGAAATTTCAAAGTATGTTGAACATTTACATCAAGCCTTTATTTTTTTACTCTTTTTAAAAATGAGTACCTTTTGACATAACAAAGAACCAGTGTATGAGTTTGTTTCTGTCTTTGTTTTTTTACTTTCTCATGATCATCTTATTAATTCACGTGTTGTTTATTTTCATGCAGAAATTATGGAGAAGTCTGGTGAGGAAGGAATGCCTGATCTTGCCCATGTCATGCGCATATTGTCTGCAGAAAATATCCCTAATTTACCTCCAGGGGGAGGTCTTGCTGGCAAGTAAGTAGAACAAAGATAGCCAATTTTGAGTTCTCTATGCATAGTAATTAAATCTCTCTATGAATAAGAGAATTTAAGTATTTTTATGATACTGATAACTTGTTCATTTAATGCTTCAAAGTTTACAAAGTACTTTACATTTATCTCATTAAATTTTCATAATAATCCAGTGAAGTAAATGCTACAGTTATTAATCTGCATTTGACAGATGAGGGAACTCAGCCTCAGAGAGATGGAGTGACTTGGTCATGGTTGGAAAGTGAGTGCTTAGTGAGAAGGGGACTTTGTGCCTAAGCCTTTCCTTATTAAACACCTTGATTCTCCAAACCTAGTAGGGGTTCATCCCGAGCTTCCATTAAATTAGATGAATTTAAACAGTTTTGCAAGCTTTAAAGCACTATACAAAAGTTCAGTTGTTTTTACTAGTTTACCGACTTTCCTTAAAAGATGCTAGGTAAAACTTGTTCTGAGGCTGGTTTTGAACTCAGGTCCTCCTGAATTCCAGGGCCGGCACTCTACTCATTGCGCCACATAGCTGCCCCCCTGGATAACTCTTAAATAGTTTTCTAGCTATTCCTAATGGACCTTTCTGCTCTAAGAGGCAAGAGCCCTTTCAGAAACAGGCTGTAGGCCCCCTTCATTGCTAAAGTAGTGAAGAATGTATTGTGTAGGATAAATAAAGATGATTCAGCAGATTCTAGGAACTAGAATTCTTTCGTGGAAAAAAAAATCTGTCTTGTTAGCATTATTTTAAAACTGGCCATACACTTTGGATATAGTGCAGAATTAAAGCTATATTATTAATTTACTGATTAACTTATTTTAAAATATTTTCACAAAGGTATTTCTTCATGTTTTTAGGCGCAATATTATTGAGGCTGTTTATAATAGACTAAATCCACATAGAGAGAATGATGGGGTAAGTTTTTGTTTTATAAGCTTTAAAAGTAATTTTATAACATGGTAAATTAAATATAGCTAGAGTATACATAGTAAACTTTAGGTGTGATAAATGTTTCATTCATAGCAATAAAAATCAGTTGTCATAAGCTAGTTTTTAATTCTCTTTTTACAAAGGAATATGTAGTGCCTGCCTTTGGAAAAATTCAGTTGTAGTATAGATTTTTTTCTATTAAAAGTTGTGTCAGTTAAAAGGAATCTTTTATGAATTGATTTAAGCTTAAGTTATTAGAGTTATAAGTACCTCTTTATGTGGGTTTGATGTTGTCTATCTTTAAAGTAGTAGTTTTTATGTTTATCATAAACTTTTTAAACATTTCACCTCCTTTCATTTCCCTTTCCCATCTCTACACCTTTCTTTGTTTTAGAGAGGCAATATACTGTCTCACCCCTTGTCCCCTGTCATTAGGCTATTGTTAGCAACAGGCAAAAGATTTAGAGTTGTGAATTTTCTTTGTTTTTTTTTTCTGAGGCCAGATAAGCAGAACAGTTCAGTTTAGTTTTCCCATTTACCTATTCAGATGAATATCTGAAAATTATTGGATTTTTCCTTTATTATAAAAATATAAGAATCCTAGAGAAATCATGCAGGAAGCTCTTACATGAATGTGTATAAATCTGAATTGAATTATTACACTATGGGATGATCAGCTCATGTCCTTTCCCCTATAATCTCTCATTAATGCTCTTTTGAAATTCTGATGAACTTTTCAGCTAGTCATCAAAATATACACAGTCATATCAACTCCAGAGAATTTTTAGCACTCCAAATTTTAAAGTTAGTTTTTCCCCTTCAGACTAGAGCTTGTTTGACCATAGCATGTGTAAGGTTCTACGTATCTCAAAACAAGTAACTTGGGTTTTTAAATTTTACTTGGAAAGCTTAGATAGGAACCATAAAGCTCAGTGGAAAAACTCTTTTGAAATAAATAGCTCTAACACCATTCACATATTTTTAACTATTCTTATCAGGCCATAAGAGTCTTGGTTGCATTGTTGCCAGAAGATGTTATTTTCAGAGCAGGATCATCATATTATTCACTCACCCTATTTTAGCAGCAAAAATACTTCCAGGAAAGTATCATAAATACATATGGTACTTAATGAGTTTTAAAGAAGTTGACTCTGAATAACACTATCAATACACAGACAGAAGAACTTTGATTAAATGAATATAGGGCATTAAGATATCAAAAGTGAGTGAGTGAGAGTGTGTGTGTGTGTGTGTGTGTGTGTGTGTGTCTTCAGGCACGTTGTAAGCTCCTTGAGGTCAGTAGCTGTGTCATAAAAATGTGTACTGGGATATTTAAATTGACAAATAGGAGAGGACTCTACTGTTTGTTTGAGCAGAGGATTATCAAGCTGAAAGGGCCTTTAGAGAAGATTTCATCATAGACTATTGATATAAAGGTGGAAGAGACCGTAGTGGTCAGCTAGTCTAACCCCTTCATTTTGTGGATGGGACCCCAGCAGGAGAGGTGGCTGCAAAACAGTTACACAAGTAGTACGTGGCAAAGCTGAAGTTGTTCGGCTTCTCAGCAAGCATTTACAGTTGTGGAAGATTTAAATGCTACTCCAACTGAGAAATATTTTTATTTTAGTCAGCCAACATTGTGCTAGACATTTTGACATCTTTCAGAAGATAAAAATTAGTTGTTTGGTGAGCAGAGGTGGGGTCAAAATCATTATTACTTTTATACCTGTGAACATTTCATTTTTAATATATTATTCTTGTATATGTTAAAAAAAAACCTGGGCTAAAACATAGCTTCCTAATATTTATATAATCTGAAAAAAAAGCATTTGGGGTGTTTTTCTTAAAACATTGTTGAGGTATTACCTGGTAGTATTTAAATATTTTTAAACTTTTAAAAAATAAGCTCTCTTGATCATTGTATATCTTATAATTCCTTGATCAAAGTTTAAACCTTCCAAACTTTAAAACAAAATTTGATTCTGCTGAATTGAATTGAGCAGATATTCAATTCAACAGATGCCTATTAAGTACCTATATACAAAGGCAATTTATCAAATATTTTAGCAAGTCAAAATCTGCTTTATTAAAATCAGTGTGAATACAATCAGTCCCTCTGGGGAGCCTTTATTAAGACAGCTTTCATGTTGTTACTATGACTGAAAGCAATTAATTGCTTAGTAGCTAACTTTCTGATGATAAAAGCCAGCATCTCCTGGAAGCCTTTCTAGTTTGGTACAGGTTCTGTCCAAGTCTTTGCTTTCAGGAATTCCCAGTCACATCCATGCCATAATACAGCATTAGAATAGGGCTTGAGTAGAGGTATTTATGAAATATTTGAAAATAAAGTAAAATATAAAATGAAAATAGCCAGGAACGTATATATAGTGTGATGAACTAATTGACTTTTAGTAAAGTGAGGGTTATCAGTTGTATAATCTGAGTTCAAATGTTGCACTGATCAGTGCAAAATGTTGAAAGTCATGAGAGAGGCTTTCTTTGTATTGGCTAGCAACCTTGTATAGGAATTATGAGCAGTCATGGTTAAGAATTGCAGAAATGTCTATTACAATAGGAAGTTTCCACTTTAATAAGATCTCTAATAGATAAGTGAAATTTTTTAAGCATATCAATTCACTACTTAACTAATTCACTAAACCTAATTCACTTATTTATCCAAGAAAGATTTTAGTGCCTCCTTGTAAGATACTACCAAAAACTAAGGAACAAAAATAAACAAGTGAATAAAAAGAAAAGAATAAGACATGGGTCTTGTTCTTTGGGAGTCATAGTCTAATATACTTTAAGGGTATTTTTACTTGGCTGTATATATAATTTTAAATATGTATTAGTATTTATATAGATTTCTCCCCTTAAGCCCCTGAAATTCTTGAAAATAATAGCCCTAATTTTTTTCAGTGCAAATTGATTATTAATTAAGATTTGCAATGTTATTCTTAGAGAATAAGTTATACATAGGATTGATACAAGTTGTGAAGACAAGAAAGTTTGGGTCTCTGGAGGCTGTCGTATTTAATGTACTTTAGAAACTAACATTATTATTAAAGAATAATTCTTATAACTTTTATTACCTTCTTATTACCTTTATTCTGGTAAGTATATAGTGTGTGTATGTGTGTGTGTGTGTGTGTGTGTGTGTGTGTGTGTGTGTGTGTGTGTGTGTTCGATCGTGTTCCCTTTTAAGTGTTTGTAAGATATCCAAAGAGATTTTGTGATAGTCAACTTTGTGTAGCCTTTTTATTCCTCAGTTTTCTTAAGTGAAATAACAGTTTATGTTGAACCCTATTTACATGCCCTACTGTGTAACTATATGAAGTTAAAGTGTTTCCTGGTATTATAGGATACCATAGCATATAATCTTGTCCTAAATATCCTAAGTGGATACATTCCTTTATTTAGTTCATAATTTAGAAGAATCTCTTAGAGGTTTTAAGGAAGTGCTTCTGGGTGATAATTACTTTAGTGTAGAAACTTTTATATTCCTTTGGGGGGAAAATGTGTCGTTGCCTATGTTTATGAAAAGTACACAATAGATGTATGAAATAATAAAGAGATAGCTTTCAAGGAGTTTTCACTTTATTTAGTTAGATGAGGTTCAGTTGTTTAGTTTTTTTTCAGTCATGTTTTCTTGGGAAAGATATTAGAGTGGTTTGGCATTTTCTTCTCCAGTTCATTTTACAAATGAGGAACCTGAAGCAAACAGGGTTAAGTGACTTGTCCAGAGTCACACAGCTAGTAAGGGTCTGAGGCCAGATTAGAACTCAGGAAGAGAAGTCTTGCTGACCTCAGGCCTGGCACTCTATCCACTGTGCCACTTATCTGCCCCAGTTACATGAGATACTAAGATATAAAAGGCTAAATAACAGTTTAATACACTAGAAGAAGTGTCAGAAGGCAGAACATGATTAATTGTTAGGTGAATTGTGCAAATAATAATTGCTGCAGGAATTTAAGAGGCGCAGTAGAGGTTATTTCACAGTATAGATAACTCTTAGTCACGGGTAAAGGTTTTTAACTGTCTTAAAAGAGAGATAATGTTTAGATCAGTGGCGAGAAGAAGAGGGCATAATTCCAAATCAGAGGAGCAAGCAGTTACAAAAGAGTAAAGGCAGGAAAACTTAAGACGTGTTCTGGATCAAATTAGTAAGTTCATTTTTTGAAATGTTTAGAAGACTAGTGGGAGAGCAATTATGTTGGGACCTGGCAGTGAGGAAATTTTGGATACTAGAGTAAGCAATTTTAGGCTTTATTCTGATGGGAGCCATTAAGCCATTGAAGTTTGTTTTTTGTTACCAAGATTTAGAAAGATTCTAAGGGCCAGGAAAGAGCTAATCAGATGGAGATCAATTATGTGGCTATTAAAATTATCTAGTCTAGTGGCAATAAGAATCTGACAGTGGAAATAGAAATAATAAGAGTAACAAAAATTGCGAAGAAAGATTCAACGTTATTTGGAGATCTGATATTTGGTGGGGAGAAAAGAGTAGGGGATGGAAGCAGTGTTATTTGTGTCATAGTCTGACTTATTCTGTGCTTTAAAAAAGTAATTAGGGAAGAAGCCAAATTTTTTTTTAATTCACCTGGTTTTTCTCTTTGGGTTTGTTCCCATTATTTAGAAATGTTGGCATAATGACCAAATCTTTTAAATTGGCATTCCTTTTGGCATAAAGAACACAAGTTTAACTTAAAGGAGAATTTTCTAACCTCACTGTGATAAATTCTGTATACTTTGTTTTACTGTTCTCTTTAGTAGGTCATTTTATAAGAGTGTGATATTGGGAACTTTCATAAATAGACTCACAGAATATTTCCATGTAGAAATCATAGTTTCCATGTAGTTCAGTCTCCTCACTTAGGAATTGAAGAGACCAAGACTCTCAAAGGTGAAGCACCCTGTCTAAGGTCATAGCTAATAAGTAATAGTATGAGGTCTTTAGCTGGAATCTCCCAAGTTAAGTCTAGTACAAGTTAATTCCACTATATAGAAATATGAAAAATTATCTTTAAAATCTAATATGCTTATTGTCATTTTACTTTTTCCATAAATGTAAGATTCTTTCATTGGAACATGAATGGCCTGTGTTATAACCAGTATTAATTGGTGGTTTCATATCAACTAAAAAGATGTTTATTGAGTGCCTTAAAAGTTTACAAAGCACCACACATTCATGGGTGATGGTATAGTGAAAAGAGTACTGAATCTGGAATCAGAGGATGAGTTTAGGCTTATATATATGGGTTCTGCTGCTTCCTACCTGTATGACTTTGGCACAGTTCGTCTAACAAAGGGAAGGTCACTTCCCTTTTGGGTCTCAGCTTCCTCTTTTATAAAATGAGGCAGTTGAAGTAGTTGATTTCCAATGTGCCTTCCTGCCATCCTCACAACAACCCTGTAGTTATTATATTGCCTTACCATATCACCAGTAGCATCCTGTCAGCCTTGGATGACTCCTGCTCTTTACTGCTGTCACTCCTTATACAGGTGCTGCTGAGTTTTCTCCAAAGGTGGAGAAAATAATGCAACCATTCTGACTGGGTCCACTATGTTGTTACCCAGCCTCAACTGGGCCCTTGATGCTGTTAGGCAATGCTTCTGCACTTCCCTTATTAACTTAGCATCCCACTCTTTATCCCTCCTCAAACCTCGCATGGCTCCCCTTTTCCCCGACTCTCATCATTCCACTGGAACCTATGCCCCAAGTTGTTAGTGATCTCTTCATTGTCATATCCAAGGAGGACCTTTTCTTAAGCCTCATTCTTCTTGGCCACTCTGCAGCCTTTCACGCTGTTGATCCCCTCTTCTCCTTTATACTCTCTTTTCTCTAGATTTTTGAGATAGCATTCTCTTGGTTCTCTCCTTACCCATGTAATTGCTCCTTCTCATTCTCCTTATGCATTCCCTCCATAGGTATCCCTCAGAGTTCTGTCCTGGGGCTTCTTCACTTAGTGATGTCATCAATTTCCATGGATCTAATTACCATTTCTGTGCTGCTGATTTTCAAATCTGTCTATGCTGCTCTGACCTCTCTGCTGACCTCCAGTCTTAAATTTGCAGTTGCCTTTCATTTATCTCAACTGGATATCTAGTAAACATTTTACCCTAAACATGTGCAAACTGAATTCATTATGTTTCTTTAACCTCTCTTCCTCCTCCCTCACTCAGTCCCCATTTAATTTCCCTGTTACTATTGAGGGCTCTGCCCTGCTCCCAGTCTCTCAGGAGCACATCCTTGGAGTCATCCTAGACTCCTCACTATCTGCTGCTCCTCCCGTCCACCCCTGCTGCCCTCATCTGTTGCCAAGGCCTGTCAGTTTCACCTTTGTATCACTTCTTGAATATGTCTCTTTCTCTGCTTGATACTTTCCCCTCCTTGATACTGCCCACTCTCTAGTACAGTCCGTCATTACCTCACACCTGTATAATTTGCAGTAGCCTGTTGGTAGGTCTGTTCAGTATCTCCCTCTCCAATTTATTCTCCATTTAGCCACCAAGGTGATTTTCCTAAAACACAAATCCAACCAAGTCTACCCTCTACCCCGCCTTGGTAAATTCCAGTGGCTCCATATCTCTTCCAGGAGCAAATAAATATAACATCTTTTGTTTGGTGTTGAAAGCCCTTTGTAACCTCTTTTACCTTTCCAGTCGTCTTACTCCTTTTTCCCTGCCTCGTACTCTTCAATCCAGTGTCACTAGCTTCCTTGCTTTTTCTCAGACAAGACATTTTTCTCAGCTCCTAGCATTTTGTCTGGTTGTCCCCCATGCCTGGAATGTTTTCCCTCCTCATTTGAAGGTAGCATGATGCGAATCTTATTGAACATCTCATTTTCTACAGGAAGCCTTGCCATACTCTTAATTCCAGACCCTCTCCTCTCAGTTATTTCTTATTTTTCCTGTAGATAGCTTGTTTGTTGCTTTTCCCATTAGATTGTGAACTCCCTGAGGACATTGTTTTTGTTCAGTGGTTTTGGTGGTGTCCCAACTCTTCACGATCGCATTTGGGATTTTCTTGATAAAGATGTTAGAGTGGTTTGTTTGCCATTCCTTTCTCCAGTTCATTTTACAGATGAGGAGACTGAAGTGCACAGGGTTAAGTAACTTTTTCAGGACTGCACAGCTAGGAAGTATCTGAGGCCAGGGGAACTCAAGAAGATGAGTCTTTCTGACTCCAGAGCTTAGCATTTTATCCACTGAGCCACCTAGCTGTCCTTCTTTGAGGACAGGGACTGTCTTTTGCCTCTTTTTGTATTTTGTATTCCTTACCACTGGGCCTGGCAACTTAGCACTTAGCACTTAATACTGTGCCTGGCAAAAGGTAGTACTTAATAAATGATTATTTTCCAAAGTGGGTTAAATGGTAAGGATATTGTTTATTCTTTCATAGTCTAGGAAACAGGTAAGTGACTTGCTCAGGGTCACTTAAGGCTTATTAGTGATTCTAATTTAGATTTCTCCAGTGTTCTTTTCATTGCACTGTTGCTATTGAAAAGAGCCTTAGTATTACTACACAGGCTTCTTTTACTTTTTAGCTATTTTCTTTTCTAAAGAAATTTTAATATCCTTTTGAGACATTGAAATCATATACATTTGATTAACTGCTATTTTAAAATTTCTGTCAGTTTGATTTCTATTCAGGTGAAACTGTGATTTCATTTCCAAGGAGGCAAGTCCTATAAAAATCATTGAATCTTTGGCAGTGTCTCTTCATGCTATCTTTTCTACCCTCTGTGTCTATTAATAATATCTGATTCTTAAGATGGATTTTAAATAAATTTTAGAAATATTAAAGCCTATAAAATAACAAATTTTGGGAAAGAAGACAGGTTAGTCACTGTAGCCTTTTTCTTTAGTGATAGATATAACCACAGATAATGGGAAGTAAATCTTCCAGTACACTCTTAAACATATTGATTTCAGGTTATAAAACCTGTGTCCGTAACTCAGAAGACAGTGTAGTGTTGTGAAAAGAGCTCCAGCCTGTGAGTCTCAAGACCTGCCTTCAAGTTGCTATTCCAGTAATTAGTAGTCACGGTGTCATCGGATTTGAGGAAAAGAACTCTTGATTTCATTGGAATGGAAACCAAAGTGAGGAAACTTCCCATAGCTTCCAGGACAGTTCAGCAGCTGTTCTACGGCAGTATGGTCTGATATAATCTATATCAAAGGTGGTACTTGAACCCAGGTCTTCTTGATTTCAAGACCACTATTATATTCTCTCTCAGGAGAGAACATTTGCGATGATCTGTGAGCTGCACTGTTTTTGCAGTCCAAGGCACCTTATTTTAGTTTGAGAAAGCCTATCATATACTAGAAAGAATGCTGGATTTGAAATCGAAGTCAGTCAGGCTCAAATCTGGCTCTCTTGTTACAGTTATTAGCTCATTTACCTTGCCTACACTTCCATATCCTTATCTTGTAAGATGAGGGGGATTGGACTAAAATTACTTTTCTGTTCCTTTCTATCTTTAATTTGATTCTGTGATATTGTTTATAGATTATAAAAGTAAGGTCCAGAGGTTTAAATGAACCTGTGCTCATACAGGTAGTTAGTTACAGATCCAGGATATAACCCCAGGTTCTCCGACTCCAAATATAACCATGGGCAAGTAATTTTCCCATTTTGGGCATCTATTTCCTCATCTACCAAATAAGGAAATTGCATCAGATAATTTCTAACATCCTTTCTGTGGCTGGTGGGTATAATTAGACTAATTTTGTTGTTGTTGTTGTTGTTTTAGGCAATGGGGTTAAGTGACTTGCCCAGGGTCACACAGCTAGTAAGTGTTATGTGTCTTAGGCCAGATTTGAACTCAGGCCCTCCTGAATCCAGGGCTAGTGCTCTATCCACTACGCCAGCTAGCTGCCCCCTTAGACTAATTATTTTTAAAATCATAGGCTACATTCTAGCAAATACCAGGGCATATGGAAGAATTATACAAATTTGTAGAGAATAAACAGCTCACAAGGGGGTTAGTGTTAAGAGGTGAGTTTCATCAAATTAAAATCAGCAATCATTAAATGCCTTTTTTTTTTTTAAATAAGGCACTGTGACAAGTTTTGGAGATGTGATCCCCCAAATAGTCTCAGGCCTCAGCAAGCCTGAATTCTGCAATGCAGTTGTGCATATTAGATACACAGGGATTTGAGGAAGAAGAGAGCACACATAGTTGCTTCCAGATTGGAATCTGGCAGAAAGTTATCTAGTAGCTCTGCTCATTCATTCACATCTCCATCAATCTGGAGGTGGGGGAGGGGGATGGCTGAGAGGTGGGGAAGGAGTAGTCAGGGTAGAACTGGGAAAATCATAAACTTAGAGGGTACCTTTCTTAGACATCATAGGTACTCAATCCCAGAGGAAATTGACAGAGCTTCAGAGCATGGGTGGTATTCAGTTTTAGTGAGGGTCCAAATAAAAACTTCCAGAATTTGGGAGGATGTTTTCTTAAGGCAAAAACATGTATGAATGTCTTTTTGTAGTACATTTTCATGCCCCAAGAACATGGCCATTAGTCCTTATGAGAGGTTTTACATATTTAATGTAGACATTTTAAACCCTGCCCTCCTCCCCCCCATTTAAGATAAATTGTGTGAAGTTTCAGCAGAGATTGACAGTTCATTTCTGTAGGATAACATTTTTTTCCCAAAATTCATCTTGAGGTTATTTGAGGAAAGTTAGTTTTTAGAAGAAAATAAATGGGCTGTTTTCCCAGCCCATGCTTATAGCTGCTATTTACTTGTACTCAAGCTACTTCTGGCCTAAAGTATTTTAGTGTCTTTGATGTGTGGAAGCCTTGAAGTAGGTGGTATGGTTCAGTTAGTAATAGACATTCAATGGCATTCTTTTCCTCTGCTTTCTTTTTAAGGATGATTATCTAGGAAAGTATTAGGCTGTTACTACTACAAGCTACTAAGCTTGAAATCCTTAGGATTACAAGATTTTTTTAGAGATGAAAGTAGCAATAGCAGTTGAAATAATTATGAATTTAAAGATATAATGTTATTAGAGTTTAAAGATCCTAATATTTGGAAATAGTTTTGCATGATAAAAGCTAACCTGAAGCTCTAAAATGTGAATGCTTTGATTTATACTAGTTTTCTAATCTTTATAATAATGAGCAGTAATCAGATCCAATCAGTAGAAATTGGGGATGAGAATTTTGTTGTGTTGACAAAACATTTGGAAGAGGGAATATTGAGCTTCCAGGATCCTGCCTTCTGTCAGCCATACCTTTAGATGAGAAGAAAGCTGTGAGCTGCTCTAAAAGATTAGAAATATTGTCTTAAATACAAAAGTAGGGACTAGGTTAAATTTAATCAGATTCCTAATATTTATATTTCATTTGGCAGTAATTGAGACTGATCCTTCATAAATAGCACAAGTTTTTGCCATTAAAAAATAAGAATTCATTAGATTATTATTTTGCTTAATACTTTTTGTTACTTTCATTCCTTAAAAGATCCATGGTTTCTTTGATTTGGGTAGTCCCTCTAACACTGTAGAGTACAGTGCCTTAATAATGGGCAAAAATTCTTCATAAGTTATCCAGCCTCTTCACAGTTAGCTAGGTTTATCCCTGGGAGACAAACAAAAACATATCACCAGTCTTTTTACTCAAATTCTTTCCAGCTTTTTTTTTTAATTTTTTTTAGTGGGGGGGGAGGGAAAGAGTGAATTTTTTTTTAATCTAAATTTTTATATGCTGACATTCCAGAAGAACTGATAAACTGTTATGATAAATTAACAAAAATTTAAATATACAGAAAACCATGTAGGGAATTGGGATAAAAACTTAAAACTTTTTAAAATAGCTCCTTAGGTAAAATGTACTCTCTATTATGGAAATGCGGATCATATTTCTCCAAAGGTGATAAAAAGTTTATATCAGGTTATCTTACGTCAAATAACCCTTGATAATCTGTAGAGAACTTCAAGTAGATTTTAGCTAGAAGGTAATGAAAGACTACACAATAATAGCTAAAGTTTAATAGTATGTAAAATTCAAGTTGTTAATAGTTTGGATTAAAAAATATTTAAAAATCCCTTCTCTATATTAGCATCCTAAGCTTAGTTTAAGAAGAAAAGTAAGCTTTTTTTTTCTCTTCCAAAATGTTAAGTTACCCACACCAAGTCCAAGTTTTGAGTAATATTTTATATGCAACCTTCTAACATAGCTGTTTTTAAAACAGATTCATGTGGTTGTTAACTAATACTTTTATGTTCTTTTGCAAGGCTTTAAAACATTATTATATATTAAACTTAATTTTTGGTTTTTGTAAAAAATTATTTTGTTACTTTTTGGATGGGAGCTACTCTCAAATTCTCTTAACAGTAAAGGTATTTTTTTGGTTATCATTAGGAATACTTATTTTTCAGATAATTTAGAGTTATATGATTTATTATTAATAAACACCATAAGACCATTTGTTAGAATGTACAGCGGGGTATACTGGAAATTATAACTAAGTTATTTAAAATGAGATCATTGAATTATTATTGAAGTATAAGAGTGCTTTCAATTTCAGAAATTTTAAATGATTTCTAATAAAGTATAGCATTAAAGAATATAAAGATATCTGTTCTCTATAAATAGCATTTTGAATACTGCATATTTAATAGATGATTAAGCATGGACTTTTTTCATATGTACATGGTCAGACTCCTTAGATTCTGCTTGCTTAATAAAATGGTCTTATGTTTAGATAGTACACCTCATGACAGAAAAATGAGTGTTTTTGCTGTAGTATGTTATGTTATATGTTAAATTATCCTAGTTTGTCTACTGACACTGGGGTCTTGAATCTTAAAAAAAGGCCTCCGATGATGCTGAGGAAAGTGGATCACAGGGAAAATTGGTGGAAGCTCTCAGGCAAATGAGAATTAATCATAGGGGAAACTACCGACAACTTCTGGAAGAGATGCTGACTAGTTACAGGCTAGCTAAAGTACAGGGAGAAGAAAGCCCTGCTGAATCAGCTGCTGGAGCTACTTCTTCGAACAATGATGCTGGAGACCCAGTGACAGTGCTGGAACCCCATACTGAAACAAAATGTGATCTTGCTGAATTAGAACATTCTAATGAAGATGCAGGGACAAAGATGAGCGATTCACGCATATGAATTCTCTCTTTTGTTAATATGTTTATGGTCTTTGATTTGACAGTTTTGCCTAGCTAGCATAATGTATGCATTTGTGTATCAGTTTGTTATGTGAATCTTGGAAAACTAGTTTTATTTGTACAGTCTTATTTTTTAAGAAGGCCTTTTTTGCATATCCTTTTTATCAGATAATTCAAAGTTTACTATAGTACTTTAAATTTAATAATTATATATCCTATTTCATTTTACAGGGTGTACCTGAAAATCAGGTCACCAGTTAAAGTCAGTAGTTTGGAGTTTGTTTTCTGTTTCTTTCTTGAAATTGGACTACACCAGATGAGTTCTTACGTGTTTCATTAAACTGAGGTTAATTTCTGTTGTGGACAGGTTCTTTGTTAATACAGAACTTTATTGTTTTACATTGTTTTACGTATTAGTGAACTCAAAAGTTTCATAATTTTGCCATTTGTTTAGTATTAGTTATTACGGAAAGGCTGATGATGGCCTTTATTTCTTTCTTGGAATGCTCTCTGACATGTTTGAAATTGTATTTATTTTAAAGCACTGTAGTTTTATTTTTAGAACTTGTGAGAGATTGAATGTTTCTTTTGACTTTGTGTATTCTCTATAAAACAAATATAGTTTTAGAAAAAGTGTACTATACCTGAAACTGTGGTTTGTAGTTTCTGTATAGATGATATCTGTACAACAAAATGTATATGGAATTGTTTAGTATGGAAAAAAAAAGTTTGTGTTTAAGACTTCCCCCCAATAAAGCATGAAATGTGGAATAATTTATGCATGCTGTAATTTTTTAAAATGGATTTTAAAGATTACAGTTTTTATGTCCAAGTGTATACTGGAAACCTAATCCAAATCAGAAATTTGTACTTAGTATGCGAGCAAATCTTTTATACAAAGCTTTGATCATTTTTAACTGCCAGGAAAAAAAAGTACATGTGTGAAAATATAAATTTTGTTTTCATCTATATAATTTTTAAAACTAGCTACTTTGATAAAAAGTATTCTTTGCTTAGAAATAATAAAACAATTGCTTTCTATTTCTTATGCTAGGAATACTTTTAAAGCTGTTTTTTTTTTGTTTTTGTTATAATTTATTTCAAATAAAATAACTATTGATCACTCAGCAGAAATGATTTTTGTTTTTCCCCTGATGAATGTGAAATTCTGTACAAAATCAATTTTCTGGCTCAGCTAAGAAGGCTTGTTTTTCTGAAAGTAATTTATGGATAAACTCTTAAGTTACTTTAAGTGGAATGGAAGTGGCAATGATACTCATCAGTATATCTATCTTCCTGCTACTTCCAAATGAATTTTTTGAAGTATAATACGATTATGATTTGGAATTTTTAAAAAGGCTTAAGATAGTGGGAATGGAAATGACCTCTGTATAAAAGCAGCTTTTCAAAAAGAAGGTACTTTTGTTTGTGTGATTTTTGTTTTCCTTTTTAAACTTTTGAAATTCAGTCCATTGTGGGAGTAGTAGAGGTGAATAATATTAATATTCTTCCTTTTCTCTTCCTGTAGGGTGCTGGAGATCTAGAAGACCCATGGTAGCCTTACAAATCTACTAAAATGCTTTTGATTCTGAAAATTGGGGGAAAAACTTTTAATCACAGTTTTCTTCAATACCAGGGAATAATTCTGGTGGATTTCCAACATTTTGTGAAATGAGCAGAAAATTATCAGAATTTTCCATCATATGTTCATTTTTGTGTTTTCTGATATTGCCACTCTTAGCATTGCCTATACTACAGTATTTTTGCCAACCTCAGGCATACTGATTACATCTGTATTGAACTTGATTACTAGAAACCAATGGAGTGATTCTTCCATAAATCAATAAACTACTATAAATCAATAAATGTGCCTGAGGTGCATGGGATTATAGTTGTACTCTGAAGATACATTCTGATTTTTATTTTAACAAAACTCACAACATATAAGCATGTAAGAGTACAAATAATTGTCTGAGACGCTACTTATTTCACTTTACCAAGTTGGAAAGCTTTTGAGGCTCTGTGGCTTGAAATTTCAGTTGGGCAGTATGCTATAGGATGTGAATTTATTAGTGTTGTTATTTTTATTTTTATTTTTTTTTATTTTTCAGTTTTACCTGTAATACCAGACTGGGTTCTCCAACAGTGTCCAAATTGTGATGTTGCCTTGCTTCAAGATAAGTGTGTTTGGCAATAATAAGATCATTTTAGGCATCAAAATTCCTTCAGAATTTTACCCATGTGCACAACACATCTTTAACTTCTAACTTTAGAAGTCTCCTTAAACCAAACTGATTTAACTTATAATTAGTTGCAATTTGCTTTGACATCTCACTGCTTCAGTTTTTTATTATGAAAATTTGCCTTCATAATGTAAATTGTGATTTTTTTTTGTTCTAAATGTGGTTTTTCTATAGTTTGAATTTTCAGCTTAAGATAAAAACAGAAGTTTTATGTAAAATTGGTATTTTTATTTTGCATTATTTTCAGAACTCAGAATATCACTTTGAGATTACTATAAATACAGTTAAAATTATCTATTTTAGATCTAAGAAAATATTACAGAGATATTTTCATGGGTTCCGTGACCTTTCATTTTATAAACAGTGGGCATGGTACAGAGTGGCTGTCATGTAAGGTACTTGAAGATTCTTAGTTTAATTCTATTTTTGCAATAACATTAATTTTTCTGAATTCTTTTGAGTTGTGCATGTATTAAGCCCAGTTAATGCTGAACATGAAGAGTATTTATCTAAAAGAAGCTATTGGGTAGGGGAAGCAATGAATGTATCCATCTGTATATGATTTACATGATGTGGATGCCTTGTAAACATCTTCCTATTTGTTTAAACTGTGTTTCAGCGAGGATGTTATTGCCCTGTGTGTAGTTTAAGCTAATGAGTCATCAACTGGTTTTGTGTGAAATGGAATTCATGGTATTTTCTGTAACTTTTTCCCTAAGCTGTGTCTGTAAAGTGACACATTTGCCTACAGCCAGCTTTTCTAATCATCCAATTTCATTGTGCATCTGATTTTTTTTTGTCTATAGACAATTATTGCCACGGTATTATTTTATTTATTCATTAGATTTTAGCCTTGTAAGTTAAAGTGTTTTAAATAATGTTAACCGGGTTTGGGGGTTGTTAAAAGATAGGGAATGAAGAATGCAAAATGGTTTATTGTTCAGACTGTTAGCTCTGGTTCAACCCTGTACTGATGATAGTACCTCCCAGTATGATATTGTGATGTTTCATACAATGCAGTGAACATAACCAACTTGTTATCTTCAATAAAGGATTGATAAAAACAGTGTGATATGTTGCTATTTTGTATAAGGCATTTTTATAATTAATATATTTAGAATATGTTATTTTAAATTACAAAATTTACAATATGCATCTTGCTATAAAACTTGATAGAGAATCATAGGTAAAAAATTATTTGAAGAAAGAAATTTTTTTAAAAATGCATAGAGTAATACTGATTAAACTCCATATTACTCTTAAGGTAGAATTGTACCAAAATATCTAACTTTAATTTTTATCCACCTTTTCAGGGGGATGGTCAGAGTGAAATCAATTCTTATAACTTCAGAGGTTTAAAAAAAAAAAGAAACGAGCAGGTCTCCGTATTCAACAGTAAGTTGTTAACAGAAATACCCAGTTCTTTTTCAACACCTTAATGCTATTCTAATTTGTTGGCCATATTTAAAATTCCTGGAACATAGACTTGATGTCTCTTGGGCCATTGTGATATTGAGAGTTTTTTTAAATGTGCAAGGTAAATCTAATGTATTATAAATCTCCCCCCCCATTACAAGTTAGAATGTAAATGAGAGGATTTCATAATTCGAGGTTAAAAGTAACTTTTGAAACTTTAACACATTCTGTATCCAAATCACTTTCAATGTGTTATAATCTAGGTATATATTTTATATATAATAGCTAGGTATATATTATTTTTGTGATTATGTCTTTTTCTGAATTCCATCAGTCCTTCAATTTCCAAATAAAACAGCTTTAACAACTGTCAAAAATCAAGTTTGACTAGGAAGGAGAAGTAGAACCTTGACTTTTTTTCTGTACTGTTACTTGGTGCTAGAACTTTTGTTTGAGCTTGCTGGCACTGAGGAGTCTAGCTTTTGACTAGAATTGGGAGGAAGGGGTGCCATTTAGCAAAGAGAAAGGTCATGAGTGGTGGTGTTTGAATTTTGGATCCATTGTTTCTGTCATCAGAAATTCAGAGGATTTTTTAAAAACCCCAAAATACGTGAAAATTATTAGTCTTACTAGTGGAATTACTTGAAACTAATAATGGCTTTTTATCTGCAAGTTCTGAGTGTCTGGTGTATGTTTATGGTCAAGAATTGTTCATAGTGTTTTCTGTTACATTTCCAAATATTTCTAGTGGCTTTTCAACCCATATGAGAGTAAGCTAAGTTTTAATCCCCTCATAGGGACTTAAGACTCTTGAATTTTTATTATTTTTTTTTATTAAGTATCTCTACTAAGCCTGAAAGCAGGAGAAAGACTGTTATTACTGAAATGAAACAATAGCAGACCTGTCTAAAATATCTATTTCCTCAGGTCAAATTTGTGATTTTAAAGTAATAGCAAATATATTATCTAACTAGGAGTTTGAGGTACTTAAAACCATTATCATACTAAATTTTATATGTAATAATTCAAATTTATTGATGTTATGAAGAAATTTTCACCTTAGGAGACATTTTGCCAGCAATAATAATAATAATTATTATTATTATACGTTGTTCTCCTTAGTTCAAAGGTGGTGCTCTGACCTTTCCTGTTTTTTTTTTCTTTCTTTCTTTTTTTCTTAAGGATATGTGCCTTGACTTTTCTGCCAATAATATGACTCTGGCTAAATCTTAACTTTTTTTTTTTAATTTCCAATCACATCAACTTGACTTGAACTAGAAATTAGATTGAACTTATTAATTAATTAATCAGGTTAATTTTCCTAACCTAGACAATCTCCATGTGCCCACCCCCCTCTAAATCATTGGAACCCACTCTTATAGGAAAGCAGAGTGTTAGGCAAAATATATACATTCATCAAGTTGGATATCATGTACCTTATTCTGTGCCTGTAGTCTACTACTTTAGTTTGAGTTCTGTTGTCCTATAGTTTCATGTTTTATATTACATGTTATAGTCATATATATTGATTATTGCATATATTTGAAGTAGAAGTCTCCTGGGTTTCCTTTTTTTTTTTTTTGAGTGCTAAAAAATTATTCTAGCTTTGATACTGAGGGAAAAGCAATTGATGATTTTTGTCCATCAATAAAGATGTTTTAAGTGTCTGCTCTGTGCTACGCACTAGAGGTGCAAAGAAAGGCAAAAGACAGTCAGTTCCTGCTCTTAAGGAGCCTGTAGTCTAGTTAGGGGGACAATGTGCAAATAATTATGTACAAAAAAGCTCTCTATAGGGTAAGTTGAACATAATTAATAGAGAAGAAGCCCTAGAATTAAAAAGAATTAGGCAAGGCTTCTTGTAGAAAGTAGGATTTTAGGGGCAGCTAGGTGGCGCAGTGGATAGAGCACCGGCCCTGGAGTCAGGAGAACCTCAGTTCAAATCTGGCCTCAGACACGCAATATTTCCTAGCTGTGTGACTCTGAGCAAGTCACTTAACCCCAATTGTTTCACTTAGAAAAAACAAAAAAAAAATAGGATGTTAACTAGGACTTAAAGAAAGCCAGGAAAGTCACAAGGCAAATATGAAAAGGGAGGGCATCCTAGTTAATGGGAGTCAAGTCAGTGAAAATGCCCAGAGTCAGATGAGGTTTATTGAGTTAGGCCAGAGTCTCAGACCAGCACCTTAGGAAAATAGCTTTTTCGGCTGAGTAGAGGATGGACTGAAGTTGAGAGAGACTCCATGGCAGAGAAACGAGAGCAGGTTATTGCAGGGTGGAGGGTGATGAGAGTGCATGAGAGTGGTGGCAGTAAAGAGGGCAGACGTGAGAGATGTTAGGAAGGTAAATCAACAGGCGTTGGCCACAGAATGGATATAGGGAGGGTGGGAGTGAGCAGGAGTCAAGGACAACCACCTAGGATAGGTGTCTCCTAGTTTCTTTTATTCAGGTACTGAAAGATTAATCTGGCTTTCAAAATGAGGGAATTGTATTTAATGATTTTTATTCGCTATCTAGTGTTTATTGAAAAGGAATGTTCATTGAATGCAGAAGGAACATTCAGATGTTGTAGGTTTTAAGAAACCATACCAATTAAGTTATTACAGGTTTACATTAAGAAAACTTTAATAGTTTTCAAAATAGCTTGATATTATGTATACCACATTCTTTTATTCAGTCAGAAAATTGATAGGCTTTGCAATTTTTTAGATAAGTTTCTCCCTGTATTCGTATTTTATTTGTAATTTGAGTAGTAATTGTCTGATTTAAAGCATGGTGCCTTGAACATAAACACTTAATATGTTTGTTCAGTTGAGTTGAATGAAAAATCAGTATAGTGCTTTTAATAGTTGTAGGGGCATACACTTTATATAGTCTTAAATTCACTCTGTCCTTCTATTTCTACTTCTTTCCCCCCCTGCCCCCTCCTTATCTTCTTGAGGTCGTTTGAAACATGACAGCCCTGACCAGACTGCTCTCTTTTTTGTTATAGTTGCTTCTCATGCCCATTACTTCCTCTCTCCGGCTGTCTTATTCAGGTCACTTGCCTTCATGAATCTATTCTCTGTTCCTTTTTCCGGTTTACCTGTAGTGTTTCTCTGCTTACTACCTTTCTGGTGTCTATTTTATTTGTTAGTTTGCAGTGATGTATTTTCTCTTGAACTTTTATTGACTGTGGACACTTGTTCCATAATCCAGATAAACCAGGATCATAAATTATGAGCTGGACCTCTTAAAAATAATCTAGTCTGAAGTTCTCATTTTACAGATGAGCAAACAAACTTAATGAGATAAAGTGACCTGCCTGTGGTCATACAACTAGTAAATACTAAAGCTGGGATTTGGGCTTGCCTCCTTTTGACTCTAAATCAGTCAACAAATTCTTTTTACTAAGTACTTAGTACATGCTAAGTAGTGAGGATACAAAAAAAGGCAAAAACCTGATCGCTCTCCTCAAGGAGCACAGTGTTCTAACTGGACAGACAAAATGCAAATAATTATGAACGCACAGGAAAATGCAGTGTAAATGAAAGATAATATTAGAAGGGAGGGCAGAAGTGGGAGGTGGGGAGGAAGCTGGGAAAGGCCCTCCTCTGGAAGCTGAGATTTGAGCTGAAGTGCTTTCTGTTTCATTAGGCTAGCTCTCATAGATTATATTTCCTGATTCTTTCTTTCCTAGCTATATTAGTGTTTCTAAAAAGAATTTTGGTAATATTGGCATAAATTCATTCTTGTTAATCCTGCCACCTAGTGGCAGCATCAACACAGACATCCCTATGGAAATGTATTCCCTGAGGGATGTGCTCCCAAACTTCCAAACATTCAGACACAAACACCCTTTCACAGAGATAGACTTAGAGCCACCATCAGGAACATAAATGACCCCAGGTTTTTCCCCAGAGATACACTTACAAAGACTGTAGAGATGTAGGCATACCCACAGAGGGAGACGCACCAAGAGAAAAGGGAAACGGATACATCCTTGGAAAGCAGAATGTAAAAAATCAGATACTGTGGGTTTTAATCCTCTGTTCTATCACATCTTTCTTGTGTGAAATTGGGCAAATTATTTAATCTTTCGGATTCCATATTCCCTTCTGTGAACTGAGAAGGTTGAAGTGCAATAAAAAACTTCTTATGTAACTCTTAAAATTAAGTTTCCGCTGGCTCTAAATCTATGATCCTATGATTCAGAGGCAACTTAGCTGTTATATATGGGTAGATGATCCCAGTGTAGCAAATAGAACATTACACAGAATGGTTGTATTTAATAGCTATGTTCCTGTCCTAGGAGAGAGACAGTATGATAGAGTGCCAAAGTGTCAGACATGCTGCATGCCTGCAGCCTGCTATGCTCCCAAGTGTGACCTGAATCAGAAAAAAAGTGTAATTGGGAACTATTCAACAGAATAAATAAAAATATACTAAAGCATACATAACAGACATTTTAAAACGAAGTCGGTATATGAATTGCAGCGATCCTTGTGTCTGATTAGTGATCCTCATTTCTGTTTTAGTCTGACACCACTGGCATATTGGATAGAGGGAGCTACATCAAAGTTGAACAGAGCTGGCTTTAAGGCCTGCCTTTGACATGTATTAACTGTGGGAAGCTTGATGGTCACTTAAGCTCTCAGTGCCCTGAGTAACTGTCTA